AACTGTGTTGAACGATCAGCAGAGCTTTATTTTACTGTAAAGGAGGATTATTTTATTTTTACCTACTAATCTGATTCAGCTGTGGAGCCACAACAGGGCAGTAAAAGAGCTGCATGCAGCTCCAGAGCCGCATGTTGCTGCCCGCTGGTCTAACCCCACTGTTCTGTTGAATTTTAGGTATTGGGGAGAAATATTCCACATGGGAACCAACCAAGAGAGAACTGGAGTTGCTGCGACACAACCCCAAGAGACGGAAAATAACCGCCAACTGCACCATAGGTTAGAACCTGAACTCCATCTCCCACAATGCCCCTGTGTACAGCCGTCTCTGTTTGGAGGATGCAAACAGCAATTTGATTGTCATGGTCTGTCTACAGTGTTGCCAGATTGATCAGGATCCCACCAAAATGGGAGGATTTTGGTTAAATTTGTCAGGAAAAAAGTTCTTTGGCAGGTGAAGAAAATTTGGGCTTGTTTGATTATTTTGGCGAGTTTTTAAAAAGTGTGTGAATCTAATAAACCACATTGATTAATAATGTAATAATGTGAACAGGCCCCACATCCAATCAACTGTCACAGCTTTGATTGACGTACATTTTAGCCACTGCTGTCGAGAGGAGGCTGTTTCCCCACCCATTTGTGTCGTTCACAATCAACAACATGCGGTCAACGAACCCGGTTCATTAATGATCTGATGAATTTGTGTTCTAGAATAAACCACCCAGCTACTTCATTAAAATTACTGAAAGTATTTATAGTTTCTTAGATGTTTGACAGGCGTTTTAAAAATTAGGTAAAAAGATTTAAAGGTGGTCAGAGGGTCTCTCTCTCTCTCTCTCTCTCTCTCTCTCTCTCTGTCTCTCACTGTTCTCTCTCTCTCTCTCACTGTTCTCTCTCTCTCTCTCTCTCTCTCTCTCTCTCTCTCTGTGTCTCCCTGTTCTCTCTCTCTCTCTCTCTCTCTCTCTGTGTCTCCCTGTTCTCTCTCTCTCTCTCTCTCTCTCTCTCTCACTGTTCTCTCTCTCTCTCTCTCTCTGTGTGTCTCCCTGTTCTCTCTCTCTCTCTCTCTGTCTCTCACTGTTCCCTCTCTCTCTCTCTCTCTGTCTCTCACTGTTCTCTCTCTCTCTCTCTCTCTCTCTCTCTCTCTCTCTCTCCTCAGAGCTATAGTGTTCTGTACAGTTCAGTGCAGTTTAATCTTCCTAAATGAGTCTGAGCTCAGTGAGGATGTGAGGAGATTGCAGATTGTAAGGGAAACACAAAGTGGCCTCGTTCTCTGAACATCAGACCTCAGACATTTCTCCTCTTCAGAGTGTCTGCTGTGTGTCTCTCTCTCTCCCTCTCCCTCTCTCTCTCTCTCTCTTTGCTTTTTCCTTGTCTTTCTCTTAAAGGGTAATTTTTCAGAAATGTCTGCATAATTAAGTGGTTAAGATGTAATCAGAGCGGTTCAGAGTGGTTTGGTGTGAAACGCTCTGTTCTAGAGAAACTTACTGAGTCAGAATTGTTCACAGTGGTGGTGATAGGAACCAGACGTCCACCTCTAAAAGCCCAAATTTTCCACTATTTCCCATCATCAACATTCCATATAATCTCAGAAGACTCGTTTAGGTTCACTGGTGTTTTGGATAGTAAATAAAATGTCTATGTTTGTGTTGTAGTCATGGCGACCCCTGGTTCCTATCACCACCACTGTAAAGACATCTGAACCATTTCACACCAAAACACTCTGAATCTCTGTTTACATTTTGATGCAGAAAGTTTGATAATTTGGTGGCACTTTCCTTTAGGTGATCTCTAATAAATGTATATTTATATTCAGTGCAGACGCTCTTATCCAGAGTTACAGTGTGATTGTGTTACAGATGTGGGTGAATGCAGCGTTAGGAGTCGAGCTCTAAGGACTCTTAGTGAAGCAGTGAGGTGTTCAGAGAGAAGCTACAGATCCAGCAGCTCCACTACTGATTCACTGACTCACTGATTCACTGACTCAGAGCCGGTCAGAGCTCTGCAGTGCCACAGCAGACTGTTTCACATTCACAGCAGCACCCACAGCTCCCCAAACCGCAGAGCTCACTGACTGCTTGCTGCACCACAGAGCGCTCAGGAGGAACATCTGCACCTCTGTGAAAACAGGCTGATGGAAAGATCTCATTTCCTGAAGACAACATACCCGTCTCCCCTGAGCTCAGCTGCAGCGCGAGGACTCATGGTCATGTTCTTGTATATCGTGATTTGAGGGAGGGCATCAAAATGTTTGGCCCTGTCCCATTTCTTATTCTTACCCCTTGTTTTCGAGTGTTGCCCCTTGGAACTGAGTTACAGGGTAGTGGTTGAAATCTTCCCTCTGAAATGGGACCCTCAAATAAAAAGAGCATCACTTCATTAACAGCTACCAGCGCTGCTCTGTAGGCGACCCTGCCAGTCTGCAGTGACAGCAGAGGAGGGTTAAGTTCAGCTCCTCACTGCTGGGCTTTAGTTACATTTAGGGATCATGTGACTTCAAAGAGGGGGGCAATTATTTATTATCACCCACCCCTAATTCTTCAGTGATATGAAGCTGAAGTCAGATATTCACCAGATTCTCGTTCGCATTTTCACGTTCCACCTTAAATGGAGCAGCAGTTACATTTAGGCACCTCAGTCCTGCTGAACTATTTAAGGTGGAACAGGCAATTTAGCTCCTGAGTCGTCAGCACTGCTAGAGATTATTATGCTTGTTATGATAAAAAGGGCCAAAATACACTGAAACATCATTAAACTAATATAAAACAGTGGTTATCGTAACGTTTAACAGAAAAGTCTCACATTTGTGGGTCTCTCTGGTCGTTTGCGCAGCATCTCACCGGTTTTTCTTTTCTTTCTCATTTTTTTTTTAAATTTTCTAAATCTGGGCTGTCATCGAAGACAAGCTGTAAAATGCTGCACTGTTCGGGGTTCTCAGGAGGAACTCGGACGTCTCGATGTTTCTGTCCGTAACGCAGCTTTATTTTTAATTTGCTGAAAACAGCTCCGAACACGGCGAGAAGAAACCCAGCCTCTCCAGCGCCAACAGCTAAAACACTCTGCTCTACTCCAGAAAACCCACCACTGCCCCCACATTCAGGCTCTTCAACATAAAAGTCCTGAAACAGCCCAACAGAAACAGTTCTTCTCTTTAATACACTGAACTGGTTACAATGCAGCGTGACAGCACATTTTATCAGCACATTCTTGTATATTTATACTTTTGGTTAACCTGTGCTTGTGCTGTGCTGTTATCTCCCCCCCGATGCGTCTTCTGGTTATTCTGATCCAGACTGAGACGTTTCACCTCTTTGTAAACTGCAAATCTTTTCTGTCTCTGTTTTTCTTTTTTCTTCGTCTCCATCTCGGCAGTGCAGGTGTTCACAGCAGGACCACTTGTTTTTCCTCCCTCCGTCTCCGACTCCCTCTCCGCCTTCTTTAACTAGACGAGAAGGAGCAGATGTCTGGGAGCTGTAGAGCTGGAGTTCAGGCAGAGGACACCTTTTAGCCTTTTAGCAGGAGTTCGGCCTTCACGCCGTCTGAAGTGCACTCATCCCAACTCCACAGGCCCCCTCTCACCTAGGGCTCTCTCAACCTAGGGCGCTCTCTCACCTAGGGTGCTGTCTCACCTAGGGCTCTCTCAACCTAGGGCGCTCTCTCACCTAGGGCGCTCTCACCTAGGGCTCTCTCAACCTAGGGCGCTCTCTCACCTAGGGTGCTCTCTCACCTAGGGCGCTCTCACCTAGGGCGCTCTCACCTAGGGCTCTCTCAACCTAGGGTGTTCTCTAACCTAGGGTGCTCTCAACCTAGGGCGCTCTCTAACCTAGGGCGCTCTCTCACCTGGGCGCTCTCTCACCTGGGCGCTCTCTCACCTAGGGCGCTCTCACCTAGGGCTCGCTCTCAACCTAGGGCACTCTCTAACCTAGGGCACTCTCTCACCTAGGGCACTCTCTCACCTAGGGCGCTCTCTCACCTAGGGCTCTCTCACCTAGGGCTCTCTCTCACCTAGGGCTCTCTCTCACCTAGGGCGCTCTCACCTAGGGCGCTCTCTCACCTAGGGCGCTCTCTAACCTAGGGCTCTCTCCCACCTAGGGCACTCTCTCACCTAGGGCACTCTCTCACCTAGGGCTCTCTCAACCTAGGGCGCTCTCTAACCTAGGGCGCTCTCTAACCTAGGGCGCTCTAACCTAGGGCACTCTCTCACCTAGGGCGCTCTCTCACCTAGGGCTCTCTCACCTAGGGCTCTCTCTCTCACCTGGGGCTCTCTCCTACCTAGGGCGCTCTCCTACCTAGGGCTCACTCCTACCTAGGGCGCTCTCTCACCAAGGGCGCTCTCACCCAGGGCGCTCGTTTATAAAACCGGGTAAACGCTTGAACACAGGTGATTTAAATTATTCATGAAGCACAAACACAGAAATGAGTGTTGCTTTTAAACTCCGCCTTCATTTTACTGATCTGCGTATAAATGTTTCCAGCAGTGAACTACAGAGTATGTCTGCAGACTCAGATCTGAACAGGCTAAAAGGGTTTGTTTTACTTTTTTATTGTTTGCAAAAAGTGTATCAGCTTCTAAGACTGAACTTTGGAGGTGTGTCTGCAGATTCTTTGAGGAACTGAAAGAGAGTCTCCTGACAAGAATGGAAGCTGGAATAAAGGGAAAGAGACTCACTGAACACTGATTTAAATTAATTTCCTAATTCACTTTTTGTGTTTTCTGCTTTGTTCCTGACAATGAAAAATGAATAATATTATATTTAATGGATGATTTAACTGCAAATGAATAAACGGAGGGTCTCTGGCTCACACAGTACAGTATGAGCACAAATGAGAAACAGTCTGAGGAGAAGATATCAGCTCATGTGCTGCTCATCACCTGCCAGGTTCTGAAGGACGGTTCTCCACAGTGCTGCTCTGGTTGTGGCAGTGAAAGGATCAGACTTACTTATAATACCGTTCATGTTAAGAATGTACAGATTAATTACAGAGTATTACTGTATTTTATAGTTATTACAGTATATTACAAGATATTACTGTATATTACTGGTTATAATAGTATATTACAGTGTATTATGAACAGATGTTCATTCTGGGATGTCTTATAAATGAGACCCTATAATAAATAAAAATCTCTCTCTCTCCCTCTCTTCGTCTCTCTCTCTATCTCAGGTCTGAGGGGGTTAATAAACCTGGGGAACACCTGCTTTATGAACTGTATAGTCCAGGCTCTGACCCACACTCCTCTGCTGAGGGACTTCTTCCTTTCCGACAGACACAAGTGTGAGATGCAGGCGAACTCCTGCCTTGTGTGTGAGATGTCGCAGCTCTTTCAGGAGGTGAGAACACGCTAAGCATTTAACCATGAAATACGTTTTTCATTAAAAAATGACAGAATTACAAAAGAAATGCTAAAATATATGCAAAAATAAATGTTAAAGTTATTTGTATTTTGGTAATTTCCAAAATGTGGTTATTTCCACTGCTGCCTCTAAAGGACGACGGAACTCATTTAAGGCACAAGTCATTTTCTTAGAAGACATAAAATATATAGAAACATTAACAAATTGGAACATCTATTTAAAATTAAGCAAATATGTAAACAATATTAATTGGACTGAGCATTACAGGTTTCATCGTTGTACTTTTGAGGGTTCATTTACATAGTTTGTACCTTCGTGTGCAAAAAACCTGCACAGAACCCTGTTTTGGGGCTTTATACCCCTCTAGTCCACGCTGGGCATTGGGCATGGAGACCTTAGGATCACATGCAGCTGCTCCAGAGCGTCTCATTGTATTGGTCAGTGCTTTTCTATAGGGTAGCCTTAAAGTAGCTGAACTAGGTCATTAGATGTGTAGTCTGTATCTGCTGTGGCCACACGTGCCTGTGCTGTGATATTGTGGCTAATTGTCCGCTATGCATTATCTAATAATCTCTCTCTCTCTCTCTCTCTCTCTCTCAGTTCTACTCGGGCCATCGCTCGCCCCACATTCCCTTCCGGCTGCTGCACCTGGTGTGGACACACGCGCGCCACCTGGCTGGCTACGAGCAGCAGGACGCTCACGAGTTCCTCATCGCTGCCCTGGACGTGCTGCACCGCCACTGTAAAGGTAGAGCTGCCACCACAGAGCTACCGTCAGCGAGACACACGCAGGAGAGGTAGCTTATGGACCCAACCAGCCGACTGAGCTTTATACCCGTCTCACAGATCTCCTGCTGTGATAGATTAGATCGCTGGTCTCATGAGTTTTAGCATTGGAGCTACAAGGCTAATGTAGCTAATCAGTAACGGAAGCTAATACCCAGCATGCTAAAATTATCACACCTTCAAACTGTGTCATGTAATTTCAAGCAGCATAATGTTATTTTTCTGCCTAATTTTTTGTGCTAATTCGTCCTGCAGTTTTCTAGGTATTGATGCCAGAACATTCGGTCTGATTGAGAGATGTGGGCTTGTATACAGCTTTCTGATTGGATGTCTGAAAGTCTGATTTTTGTTGTTCCATACGTATGAATGATGAAACTTTGTGGCCAAAAATTTGTGCATGCCTCTTGCGTCATTCGCAACCACCTTGGATACATTAGAACCCGAGTAGCAATACATTAGCAACCACCTGGGACTCCCTCACACCACTTAAAATACCATACCAACTGTCTAGCAGCACCCTAGCAACCACCAGAGATACCAAAGCAGCTGCTTAACAACTTAGCATCACCATGGCACAACAATCACCTAGGAAATAACAGCGAGTGATAGAGGGAGGGGTGAGTGAGCGAGCAAGCGAGTGAGTGAGTGGGGCGCGTTCCTCGAGCAGAACGAGCCTCAGGCTTTAATTACGCTCTGTCTGTGTTCATGTGCTGCGCTGACGTCCACCAAGGAGACGACAACGGGAAGAAGGCCAACAACCCCAACCACTGCAACTGCATCATCGACCAAATCTTCACCGGTGGCCTGCAGTCCGACGTCACCTGCCAAGCCTGCCAGTAAGACCGCCCTGAGAGAGGGTGGGGTGTGGGGGCGGGGGCGGGGATTCTCTTGTGTGTGTGTGTGTGTGTGTGTGTGTGTGTGTGTGTGTCTGCTCATATGAGCGGATCTGCTTTAGTTACAGCAGAAGCACAAATCAATACATCGGAATATGAAGTATGAAATATTCAGTGCTCTGCTGTGTGACTGTGTAATATAAGGCTGTTTTTCTGTTGCTGCCCCAGACTTACACACGCTGAGTTACACTCTGATGCCATCTGGTGTTCAAAGGAACTTCCACCCATTTTCCAAAATGTCAGAATAATTAAGTGGTTAAGATGTAATCAGAGCGTTCAGAGCGGTTCAGAGAGGTTCAGAGTGGTTTGGTGTGAAACGCTCTGTTCTAGAGAAACTTACCGAGTCAGAACTGTTCACAGTGGTGGTGATAGGAACCAGACGTCCACCTCTAAAAGCTCCCTCACAGAAAGTTCCTACATGAAATGGTTATGAATTCACTGCCTGATGACTGAGACACTGTTTTATGATAGATTTAGAGAACTTAAACTCCATTCATGGTGGAGGGATACATGCAGGGCGCTGTGAGGCAAAATAGTCCCCAAAGAAAACTTATTATTTCAGATTTTCCACTATTTTCATCATCAACATTCCATATAACCTCAGAAGACTCGTGTAGGTTCACTGGTGGTTCTGGATAGTAAATAAAATGTCTATATTTGTATTGTAGTCATGGCGACGCCTGGTTCCTATCACCACCATTGTAAAGACATCTGAGTCTCTGCAGTTTAACCACTCTGAATCTCTCTCTTTCAGTCTCAGTCCCTTCAGTATATACTTCAGTATATTCTCCCCTTAAAGCTGAACTCTATAAGAACTCTCACCACTCTGTCTTTGTTCTTGTTTTGTCGCTGTTGTAGCGGCGTATCCACAACAATAGACCCATTTTGGGACATCAGTCTGGACCTGCCTGGTTCCTCCACTCCGTTCTGGCCGCTCAGCCCCGGCTCTGACGGCAGCGTGGTGAATGGAGAGAGCCACCCCACTGGAGCGACCACGCTAACAGACTGCTTACGCAGGTGCTCACCGCATGTCCACTGTTCAGAGCTCACCCTGCGTCCAGCCCTTCATTCGGGCTCTCACATTAAAATTTAACATCGAAATATTCGTTAAATTGAGTGTAAAAAACCGTCTCCGCTGTGGCTCTTCGTGTGTTAGTTAGTAATGTTATCACAAACAGTGATTACCAGACAGAGGGAAGACCATAGCACTGCTGACCATAAACTAACTAAACAAGGATTTATTTTGGCTTTAATTAGAATTATATGGAAATATTTTTAAATATCTGACAGGTCTTTAGATGCGTGGTCATTCTGAACAAGGCGATGTGTTTATGAATATAAACATGTATGTACATACATATACACATATATAGTAATAACAGGATAACACTAATGGGCAGAAATGTGTTCTCATGTGAGGAATGATGACCTTTCTGACCAGCCAGTAAGATAATAATCTAATATTAATTAGGTAGTTTAGCTGCGTGGCTGATCTATATCTACTGCAGCCGCATCACTCGCAGACGTTTACTGTCACTGCAGTCGCGTTTTCAGCTCAGCTTCTCTCTTCATCTCATAATGACACCAGCCTGCAGATTTTACTGATAAATCCTTCTCAAGGATACGTCAGAACAGACCTCAGTACCTTTTTTGAAGACCACCAGACCCCCAGACTGAGAATATCTGGTTTAAACAGCGTGTTTTTTTTCGGGGACGCTTGATAATGTATGCTGAGTGCCCCCTGGTGGATTTAGGACACTGACATTGACTTTGAAATCTGCTGTTTACTGCAGCTATTTATCTTCTTTTTATTCTTATTTTTATTTTTTGGAATCAGAATATATTTGAATATTTGACAAGCAAATAAAGGGAACATTCAAATGTGAATGAATAAAAAACCCTTAATAAACCCTGTAAGACAACACAAACACAGAGGATGTTCCAGACTGCAGTACGACAGCGATCAGAGGATGTTTCAGCCCGACTGTAGATAGACAAGAAAAGCGGCAGTAGAGTTTGTTGTCAGTGGTGCTGCATGTTCTTGTTATTAATTACTGGATAATTAGTTGACTGACTCACCCAGGAGTCTGTGCAGGAGCTGATCCCCAGATTTGTGCAGAGAGCAGCTCATATGAACATATTATCAGGGTGTTATAATGACAGATGACTCAAAAAGTTCATGTTCAGAGATTTTGTAATAATTGACCCTATTTTTTCCCCCAAACTTCATGTTTATATCTGAGATCCAGTTCTGTGATTCAGTCCTTCACAGAAATCAGAGCAGTATAGTTGGTAATGCACGCTTTATACAGTAAATGCATTAATTTACATATAACTTAACAGCGAAATCAAAGGTTTTATTACTTTGTTTACTCTAAATATTTACCTCTCTGTCTGAATGCAGTGCGTCATTATCTCCATTAGCTGGGAATTCACAGCAAACAGTCAACTTCATCCAGTAAATCAAACGTATTTCTGTGATTTCTGCCTGTTCTGAGCTGTGCGTGTGAGACAGGACAGTAATGTTCGATATCAGCCTGATTTTAGTCCTGGAGAACAACGAGCCTGAATTCAGCTTCCTGTTCACATTTTCCTGATCCACCTTAACTGGTGCAGCAGTTACAGTCTGGGGTCTGACCCTGCGTCCACACTGGCCGCGACGCGACAGGCCGGCCGGAGGTCATTCATTTTTGATGAGAGCTGCAATTTCTGACGACAGGAGGCAGCGCGAACATAGGTCACACGAAGTGGGCGGAGTCAGCAACGCAACAAAGTAGAGTGGAGTTTAACTTTGTGCAAATAAGGAGCGAAGTAACGTGGCAATTACCAATAGGAATCGAGCATTGAGCAGCGTAGTACGCGCTTTATCTTCCCCACTGTGAAACAGTACACTCCGTTTTTGGTTCCTAGATAACTGTTCCTACTAGAGGTGGAATAATGGCGGCGGTGTTTCGGCGCAGACAGACAGAAATCATGAAGCCCGAATGCCGTTTTCCTCACAGACTGACTGCACAGACCGGGATTACATAAACAGAAGCACTCGAGAGATTTCTCACCAGCATTTCTAACTTTAGTGGAAACACATCTGATTTGTGCTTCGTCAGTGAAACCATGGCAACCTAAGGTCAGTTGGAGTTCAGAAACGCCCACAGGCGATGAGTGATCAACAATTTGGGTAACAAGAGGCGAAAAGTTGCTGCTGGTGTGAGTGCAGGGTCAGGCGTTACAATAATAACTGCCTCACTATTTAAGGTGGAATGAGAGAATTAGAACAGGAAGCTGGTGAATAAGAAGCTGATTTCAGCTTCCTCAGAGAACACAAGGAAGCACGTAATCGAGTGTCATACTTAATAAACTTTGTTTCCACAGGAAATGATGGCCTTTTTTTACAGACATGTCGATTCACACAGGATTAATATAATCTAAGTTATTTTTATGGCTCGTTTCATTGAAGGTAGAAGCCGACAGAATCTTTAATGACGCAGTGCAGTCAGTAAAAATGACGGACATTGCACATTCAGACGGGACTAAAACAACCGTAATAATCACATCAGCCCCTCCCCCCCATATAAAACTAGTCCCATCAGAACAGGACTCGAGTCCCTACAGCGCACGTCTCCTGATCTGCAGCTCTGATGAGGTCCTAGTAACACAGTGTGTCTGCAGCGCTGACCGTCTCTCCTCCACTGCAGATTTACTCGACCTGAGCACTTAGGCAGCAGCGCCAAGATCAAATGCAGCGGTTGCCATAGTTACCAAGAGTCAACCAAGCAGCTGACGATGAAGAGGCTCCCCATCGTGGCCTGTTTCCACCTTAAGGTGAGAGTGTGTCTTCCAGCCCGAGTTTCTCTTCGCCGTTTAGAGGCTCTGTTCTAACCCGTCTCTCTCGCTCCGTTTCTCCCGCCGTCCAGCGCTTTGAGCATTCGGCCAAACTCCGCAGGAAGATCACCACCTACGTGTCTTTTCCCTTAGAGCTCGACATGACCCCCTTCATGGCGTCCAGGTGAGTGAACGGGATGGATGGTGCAGACAAAAATCTTATTGAGATATAAAGTCTTTTGACAGTTTTGCCAAAACGTCATCAGGAAGGAACAAGAAAAAAAGGAGCATTTAGAACATTACAGAGTTTAAGAACTCTCAGTGTTTCATTTGATAGAAAAATAATTATGATAGAAATCTATAGAATATCTGTAGAATAGCAGTTTGGAATTGAGGTGTAAAGAAAATTAAGGCAAAACTAATAAATATTTAGATAAATGTTTTTCCAACCAGACAATTTTAAAAATATTTTCATATGTGTCTCTCTCTCTCACTCACTCTCTCCATCTCTCTGTCTCTCTGAGAGATCGTTAATGTAATTACCTGAGTGCTAAAATAAAGTTTATAAAGTGTTTATAAAGTGTGTGTGTTGAGGACAGTGTAACTGAGAAGTGAACACTAATGCAGTGTGTGTGTGTGTGTGTGTGTGTGTGTGTGTGTGTGTGTGTGTGTCTGTTCACAGTAAAGAGAGTCGGATGAACGGACAGTATCAGCAGCCTGTAGACTCACTAAACAATGATAACAAGTAAGTGCCCCCTCAGTGTCTCACCTGCAGTGGTGCAGTACAGCCTCCACATGGGGTTCTGAGACTGTTAGAGCTCAGACCCTCCGTCCGGTAGAGACACCCCCCCCAACGTCTGCACTCGCTCTGCTTTAGGCTGAATCGTTTATAAACAGCGGCCGATTTCTATGCACACTTATAACAAACACTTAAACCGAATCTCTGTTTTCAAGCTTTAATTAAAATTCCACTTTCTTCTTGTATTTATCTCTTTAAGTGAATCTCTTATTGTCTCAGTTTATTTCAGTTAAACTCTTAGCTGTAACTTTTTGAAAGTCAGTTTTCTTTTATTTTTGTATGAAATTATTAAAGTTTATATTTTATTTTTATTCTTTTTTATTTCACATGAAGAAAACTGGTTTGCGGTCGTGTCACACATCAGATAATTAAAATCACCTTGATGAAAGATTTCTACAGTCAGACAGTTAATCCTGATCTGTAGCGCGTGTTTCCTTAGCCGAGTGTGTATTTGCTGTGACGCTGTTATCTGTAGCTCCTTATTGTCGTGTACAGTGTGCAGGGTGGTCCGGTTCAGGATGAGCGAGTGTGTAACTGTCTCTCTCTCTGTAGATACTCTCTGTTTGCTGTAGTGAACCATCAGGGCACGCTGGAGAGTGGCCACTACACCACGTTCATCCGCCAGCACAAGGACCAATGGTTTAAGTGTGATGACGCCATCATCACTAAAGCCAGCATTAAAGACGTGCTGGACAGTGAAGGGTGGGTCACCCTCTATTAACACTCACAGCTTACAGGCGTCACAGTAGAAACATCTTTCATTCTTTGGAAACACCTACTTCCACTCACTGGCCACTTTATTGGAAACACCTACTTCCACTCACTGGCCACTTTATTGGAAACACCTACTTCCACTCACTGGCCACTTTATTGGTAACACCTATTTCCACACACTGGTCACTTTATTGGAAACACACTTCCACTCACTGACCACTTTATTGGAAACACCTCCCTTGTGCTTTCTCTAACTGGCCACTTTATTAGAAACATGGATTTGGAGTTGTAACTGTTTTATGTTGATAAACGTTATTGTTGTTTTTTGCAGGTACCTGTTGTTCTATCATAAGCAGTTCCTCGAGTACGAATAATTTGTGGAAGCAGATTTGAAGCTGAACACCTTAAAGAGAACCCGAGAGTGAGAAGAAGTGGACCCCTCGTGCGAGTCCAGCCACGAGAAACAGAGAAAATGAATAAATATCGTAACGTTACTTTAAAAAAACAAAAAGAAATCAAAGAAGAAAATCCTGCATAGCTGAACGGCTAAATCCGTCTGCACTGAGTAACAGAATCTACTTGACAGAAGGCGAAAGGAGGAGCGTCTAAACTCCTTCAGCTGTTTCTTTTCCTCTCCATACAGACGAGCGGAGCGACGGACGGCCAGCGGCCGCTCAGCCTCGTTTTTTTCTTGTGCTTTTTCCGCACATTCGCTTTGTTCTTTGGCTTTTAGCGTTGATCCCTCTTCCTCCTGACCTCAGAATGACCAAGCATTTCAAATCACAAACGATGAGGGAAGATATTCCTTTCTTTTGAATTTTATTTTGCATTTTGCATTTTGGGTCTGAATGCAGGCGAAAAAAGCAGACTCTGGTATTAAATGTGGAAAATCATTCTGTTGTTGTTTTGAATCATCTGTGAATTTGAGTTTTGAGATACTGTATAATTGTGAGTCCAGCACATGCTTTTCTTTCTTTTCTTTTCCATTTGGATGGGCAGAGCGTGAGAAAGGAGGTACGCGGTTGTTCCCGTGTTCCTTTCGCTCTCATCGCTCCATCTCTCTTTTTTCCTTTGTTGTTTTAGGGCAGGGAAATATATCATGTGTATATATACATATATTTTTATAAGTCATGGAATTCTTGTGTTTACGATACTTTGCCCGAACCCACCCTCACAAACATCCCACACATCCCTGTCTGTGTTATGCTTGTAATAATGTGTCCTCAGTTTTTTTTTTTTGGTCAAATGGGGAATTCCACCAAATTTTCAAAATTTCTGCATAATTAAGTGGTCAAGATGTAAACAAGTCATTCATAGTGGTGGTGATAGGAACCAGACGTCCATCTCTAAAAGCTCCCTTACAGACAGTGAAATGTAAACGGTCTGTTTGTGTTTAGGGCTCCATTATATTTGTCCATCATTTTTCTCCTAGTGTCCAAATTCCAGAGTGATGTTGAGGGCACTCGTAATTTCTAGTGAACAGCAGCCCAATGTGGACCAGATCGCACTGCGAGTCTTTTGTTCCTGAGCAGCTGAAAGATGCCACAGTCATCTGGAAGTGGGAGTCCAAGAGCTCATACCTGCTTTTTCTGTCTGGGTGTGCAGGACGGTCCTAACTCTCCCCCGTCTCTCAGCGCAATGCGGTGATGTAACAGAATTAGCAGTTAGCATTCTCCAAACATGTTGAGCTCCAGTGATGTAGCGTTAACGGCAGTTTGTAAAGGTGAGGTGGAGCTTCATGTTTCTTGGACGAAGCTCCTGTTAGCTTCACCCTCCCGGCCTGGCAGCACTGAATCATAAAGGGAGTGCTAGATAACGCGGAAATGACAGCGTTTAACAGAAAACCCCACAGAATCCTCAGCAGCTAAATCTACTCTCAGCTGTGTGAGTCAGTGAGTCACTCTTTCCCTTTATTCCAGCTTCCATTCTCTTCAGGAGACTCACTTTCAGTTCCTCAAAGAATCTGCAGACACACCTCCAAAGTTCAGTCTTAGAAGCTGGTTTAGCGTTTTCTGATAATTGTTAATCATTATTCATCAAACTCCAACTGACATTCTCCTCTATTATGAGTTTAGCTTTATTATTATTAGTGCTTCTCAGTCAAAGATTCACAGACATCTGGAAAATGAATCATTTTAATTAATGGCCATTTTAAACGGAAGTTCTGTGACTTTTGCTGTGTAAAAACTCAGAAGACTCGTGTAGGTTCACTGGTGGTTCTGGATAGTAAATAAAATGTCTATATTTGTGTTGTAGTCATGGCGACCCCTGGTTCCTATCACCACCACTGTAAAGACATCTGAACCATTTCACACCAAACCACTCTGAATCACTCTGATTACATCTCACACACTGAACTATGGGGGAAATTCTAGGAAAAGGGTGGATTTCCCCTTTAGGAAACACAGCTGTGTTGGATCTCTCACCTCTGTTTTTTTTTCGGAGTGTTTGGTGAAGTGTTGGTGGTTGAAGGCGTCTCGTGATGCGTAAGTGGTGGAGAATGCATACGGACGAGGCTGGACTGAGCAGTGTTACTCCGGACACTCTGTTTCTGTGTGTGTGTGTGTGTGTGTGTGTACTGAATCAGTACCTTAACCTCGGCATGCTGTCTAAACTGGATTCTAAAAGACTTTGGGGCGGGCGAGTGAGTTTTTATAAATGTTAATCATGTATGTATGTATGTATGTATAGTATGTACGTATGTATCATATGTATGTATGTAAAACAAATCAATGAAAAAATGAAAAAAAACTGCTTTTGTGTGTGTTAGTCGTGTGTGTGTGTTAGTCGTGTGTGTGTGTTAGTCGTGTGTGTGTGTGTTAGTCGTGTGTGTGTTAGTCGTGTGTGTTAGTCGTGTGTGTTAGTCGTGTGCGTTAGTTGTGTGTGTTAGTCGTGTGTGTGTGTTAGTCGTGTGTGTGTTAGTCGTGTGCATTAGTCGTGTGCGTTAGGTGTGTGTGTTAGTCGTGTGTGTGTGTTAGTCGTGTGTGTGTTAGTCGTGTAGTCGTGTGTGTGTGTTAGTCGTGTGTGTGTGTGTTAGTCGTGTGTGTGTGTGTGTTAGTCGTGTGTGTGTGTTAGTCGTGTGTGTTCGTTAGTTGTGTGTTAGTGTTAGTCGTGTGTGTGTGTGTGTGTTAGTCGTGTGTGTTAGTCGTGTGTGTGTGTTAGTCGTGTGTGTTCGTTAGTTGTGTGTTAGTGTTAGTCGTGTGTGTGTGTGTTAGTCGTGTGTGTGCGTTAGTTGTGTGTTGTTGTGTTAGTCGTGTGTGTGTGTTAGTCGTGTGTGTGTTAGTCGTGTGTGTGTTAGTCGTGTGTGTGTTAGTCGTGTGTGTGTGTGTTAGTCGTGTGTGTGTTAGTCGTGTGTGTGTGTTAGTTGTGTGTGTTAGTCGTGTGTGTGTGTGTTAGTCGTGTGTGTGTTAGTCGTGTGTGTGTGTTAGTCGTGTGTGTTAGTCGTGTGTGTGTGTTAGTCGTGTGTTAGTGTTAGTCGTGTGTGTGTTAGTTGTGTGTGTTAGTCGTGTGTGTGTTAGTCGTGTGTGTGTGTTAGTCGTGTGCATTAGTCGTGTGTGTTAGTCGTGTGTGTGTATTAGTCGTGTGTGTGTATTAGTCGTGTGTGTGTATTAGTCGTGTGTGTGTTAGTCGTGTGTGTGTGTTAGTCGTGTGTGTTAGTCGTGTGTGTGTGTGTTAGTCGTGTGTGTGTTAGTCGTGTGTGTTAGTCGTGTGTGTGCGTTAGTTGTGTGTTAGTGTTAGTCGTGTGTTTGTGTGTTAGTCGTGTGTGTGCGTTAGTTGTGTGTTAGTGTGTTGTGTGTGTTGTGTTAGTCGTGTGTGTGCGTTAGTCGTGTGTGTTCGTTAGTTGTGTGTTAGTGTTAGTCGTGTGTGTGTGTGTTAGTCGTGTGTTTGTGTGTTAGTTGTGTGTGTTGCGTTAGTTGTGTGTTGTTGTGTTAGTCGTGTGTGTGTGTTAGTCGTGTGTGTTAGTCGTGTGTGTGTGTGTTAGTCGTGTGTGTGTTAGTCGTGTGTGTGTGTGTTAGTCGTGTGTGTGTTAGTCGTGTGTGTGTGTTAGTTGTGTGTGTTAGTCGTGTGTGTGTGTTAGTCGTGTGTGTTAGTCGCGTGTGTGTGTGTTAGTCGTGTGTGTGTGTTAGTCGTGTGTGTGTTAGTCGTGTGTGTGTGTGTTAGTCGTGTGTGTGTTAGTCGTGTGTGTTAGTCGTGTGTGTTAGTTGTGTGTGTGTTAGTCGTGTGTGTGTTAGTCGTGTGTGTGTTAGTCGTGTGTGTTAGTCGTGTGTGTTAGTCGTGTGTGTGTTAGTCGTGTGTGTGTTAGTTGTGTGTGTTAGTCGTGTGTGTGTTAGTCGTGTGCATTAGTCGTGTGCGTTAGTCGTGTGTGTGTGTTAGTCGTGTGCATTAGTCGTGTGTGTTAGTTGTGTGTGTGTTAGTCGTGTTAGTCGTGTGTGTGTGTGTTAGTTGTGTGTGTTAGTCGTGTGTGTGTTAGTCGTGTGTATTAGTCGTGTGTGTGTGTGTTAGTCGTGTGTGTGTGTGTTAGTCGTGTGTGTGTGTGTGTTAGTCGTGTGTGTTAGTCGTGTGTGTGCGTTAGTTGTGTGTTAGTGTTAGTCGTGTGTGTGTGTGTTAGTCGTGTGTTTGTGTGTTAGTCGTGTGTGTGCGTTAGTTGTGTGTTAGTGTGTTGTGTGTGTTGTGTTAGTCGTGTGTGTGCATTAGTTGTGTGTTAGTGTGTTAGTTGTGTGTGTTGTGTTAGTCGTGTGTGTGTGTTAGTTGTGTTAGTGTGTTAGTTGTGTGTGTTGTGTTAGTCATGTGTGTGCGTTAGTTGTGTGTTAGTGTGTTAGTTGTGTGTGTTGTGTTAGTCGTGTGTGTGCGTTAGTTGTGTGTTAGTGTGTTAGTTGTGTGTGTTAGTTGTGTGTTAGTCGTGTGTGTGTGTGTTAGTCGTGTGTGTGTTAGTTGTGTGTGTTAGTTGTGTGTTAGTCGTGTGTGTGTGTTAGTCGTGTGTGTGTTAGTCGTGTGTGTGCGTTAGTTGTGTGTGTGTTAGTCGTGTGCATTAGTCATGTGTGTGTTAGTCGTGTGTGTGTTAGTTGTGTGTGTGCGTTAGTTGTGTGTTAGTGTGTTAGTCGTGTGTGTGTGTGTTAGTCGTGTGTGTGTTAGTTGTGTGTGTGCGTTAGTTGTGTGTTAGTCGTGTGTGTGTTAGTCGTGTGTGTGCGTTAGTTGTGTGTTAGTGTGTTAGTCGTGTGTGTGCGTTAGTTGTGTGTTAGTGTGTTAGTTGTGTGTTAGTCGTGTTTGACCTCAGTGAGAGGTTTTTGTCATCGTCGTCAGTGACGCCCCAGTTTTCTCTCCTGAGCGCATCGTTTATTATCATCAGTATTAAACACTGATCAGCTGCATGTTTTACTATAAAGACATTCATAATTAGTGCTGTTTAATTGGAAAACGTATCATATATCGCAAAAATACCTTGAAGAACTGCGTTTTTTGCCATCACTGACTCCGGCATATTAATATGAAATATTAATATGAAATGCAGAACAGAACTGCCTTAATAGAATATAGAGAAAAGTACTAGAATAGAATGTAAAGTAATATAAAAGTAAACTGTGACTGTATGTAGCGTGTAGCGCTGGACAATACTGACACAATGCAATGCTACGTTTCCAGATACATCGTGGTATTTTTTTTGTAAAAGAATCATTTTTAATATAAGCAATTTATTCATATCTGTTACAAATGAAGATTTGTATTATTTTAGCCGAAAACGGAGCAGGAACAGCGCAGATTAATGGATATAATATAGATCATCAAATATATCACTAAAATATCGTTAACCGCGTTATCGCAGTATGTCAGTATAACAGTACTCTGATTAGATGATGTATCACACAACAGTGTATAATACAGTTAATTATACAGTAAATCCATTTTTTATGTATATATTATATATTTTTATTTAACAGATTTCATAAACAGTCTTACAGATAAAGTTACACACTTGATTTTGAATGATATAAACAGGCTTAAATGAGTTAATAGTAATATTAGTTATCATTTTCTCTTGTATGAATCTGAGTCAGAACTCTAATGCTAATTAATGATGATGTAAACAGAGTATCAGGTGTTTGACAGTGATGGTCAGTGTTCTTCTGTAATTACCTGTTTGTGGTGCAGTGCTGCCCCCTTCTGTTTCTCTGTGAAACTCAGCCAGACTCAAAAACTCCATCACTGGGCAGTCAGTTAGTTCTACAGCAGTAACGGCAAATCTGTCTGCCAGGAAACACCTCAGCATCGCTGCTGGACTGAGAACCAAAACCATCCGGCCAACAGCATCCTGTGGGCAGCGTCCTGTGACCACTGATGAAGGACTAGAGGATGACCAACACAAACTGCAGCAGCAGATGAGCTATCGTCTCTGACTTTACATCTACAAGGTGGACTGACAAGGTAGGAGTGTCTAATAGAGTGGACAGTGAGTGGACACAGTGTTGGAAAAACTCCAGCAGCACTGCTGTGTCTGATCCACTTGTACCAGCACAACACACACTAACACACCACCACCACGTCAGTGTTACTGCAGTGCTGAGAATGACCCACCACCCAAATAGTACCTGCTCTGTGAGGGTCCATGGGGGTCCTGACCACTGAAGAACAGGGTAACAAAGTATGCAGAGAAACAGATGGACTACAGTCTTCATCAGTATGATGTTGATTTGAGGCCGAAACATCGAGCCAGACCTTCTTTTAGAGTCTGTGTGTGACGTTACTACGTAAAGACGTACGGCGAAAAACTCGACACCTCTGACTTTAAATGATTATTTCAGGCTTTACAGGCGACTCACAGCAGAACACACTCAGCATGTTTTAGTGAGTTCATATTCTCCTCACTCAGTAACGACACTTATTTCTGTTTTAATAAAAATATTGTACAGAGCAGCTTTAAGTTCGCAGTACAGTCACTCAGGTATTTTACACACCTGCTGATTCCACTAATGAGACTGAAGGAAGTCGTTTCTCTGAATCAGTAACTCGAGTCCCCTTTAAATTCCCCACTGAGCCTCACATTAAACCCTGTTTTTAGTCACTGTTCATTTTTTATATTTTATAAGGTCTTTTACTGCCAGCTTATTTGATTGTTCAGAAGAACCACCTTAAGAGATGAGAGTCTGTCTGAAAAAGAAGGGTTTTATTGGTGGGCTGTGGTGGTGAGGGGGTCGTGACAGGTCAGGTGGAATCTGCACAGGAGGGCGCTGCACCAGAAGGGGCGCTCACGAGTGATGAAGCTCATGGAACCCAAACTGATAAGCTCTGTCCTTAGTGCAAGGAGTCTGGCCACTTCCTATTTCCCACATTATATCAAACGAAAAGTTTAAATAGTTTCTAATCACTGAACCAGAACTTTCCTTTAATGTTAGACAGTAGAAGGATGGATTTCACTAAAACAGACCAAGAAAACCCACCTGTATGTTTCCTACAGCAAACAGACGCCAGCATTACTGCTACTGAGAGCTGACTGGTTAGTATTACTGCTACTGAGCGCTGACTGGTTAGCATTACTGCTACTGAGCGCTGACTGGTTAACATTACTGCTACTGAGCGCTGACTGGTTAGTATTACTGCTACTGAGCGCTGACTGGTTAGCATTACTGCTACTGAGCGCTG